CGATTAGCAGCACTGCTTCACCCGGCTGCAGGGCGTCTAGCCAGTGCCACCACCCAGGTTGCCGCACCAAACATCCGCGCCCAGGGCGTCTGTTCCGTGTGGTGCATCTCCGCCTGTCACACAGCAGTGGCGCTGCGAGTTCCGGGACGGTGACGATGTAGAGGGTCGTTTAGGAAGCAGCACGGGGGAGCAAGGAAGGCGCTCATCACGCTGGAAGGAGGCACTCGCCGCTACTAGCGAGTCGTGTTGGCCAAGCACGTAAAGCCTCGGTGCGAGAGGGTCGCGGTGCTCGACACCTTGAGCTTGCCTACTTCATCCTACCTCACACACTCGTCCCGCATTGTCCCACCGGCTGATGGTGCTGTAAGCACTGCGCCCATCCAAAGACAACCATGGGACCGAACCCCCTGCGTGGTGATGGTTGAGCAGGTGCGCCAACACCCAGCGAGCAAGCGGGTGCGAGCGTTGGAAGTCTGGTATGGCGTGATGAAGGTTCATGCTACGGCATGCTGCCGCCGGTGAAGGACCAGTCAAGTTCCGCGACACATGTGGGAAGGCCCAGGAAGCCCAGTATGCTGCAGAGGTCCACAGGGCTGGTGCGCTCCGCGGACTGGAGTCCCAACACCCCGAGAGCTGCGGGAAGACCAGCTACTTGCCAAGCACTTTGCACGTCGCGCTGCTGCCTATGCCTGAGAGGAACGTTCCCCACCGCATTCCACAGCTGCATCGCGTGCTGCTGCATACCGTGCCACCTCCGTCTGGGAAGGGTGCACGAGGCATGATTACCAAGGTTCAGCTCGGGCAAAGTGGTGAGGTGAAAGTCATCCAAGAAGACAAAGCCGTCCCCGTGGAGGCGCGAAGGTGCTTTCCCTCCGTGCCATTTTTTCAATATGGTGCCAGCTACAGTTCTGTCATACATCGGCGCATGATATCGTTTGTCCTAAGGTATTTGTTAGTATTGTTTTCCAACGCCCGAAACAGCGCGATCATTGCGCACACGCCCAAAACCAAGGCGACAACCCACGGCAGAAGGTCGCGTGCAGAGCGTGTTCACGCATGTTCACACCACGTAGCTGACGAAAGGAGCTGGAAAGGTAAGTCGGCGAGGATGCTGCTTTGGGGTGGCAACTCTTGGCCAACACTGGCTTTTGTCCCTGTTCCTCCCCACTTTTTTTGCGTTTCGAGTCTCCATGGTTGTTTTGTTTTTGCATTTTGGTTCCTTGTCGGTTTTTTTCCCAAGTTTCCGACGAATGGAAGGATCCAGAGGTTTGGTGTTGGGACCGGCCCGCTGAAAAAAAAAATATGCTTTTTCGCATTGTAGTATCGAATTTTTTTGAAATCCAGCACCTGCAGCTCCGCCAAATACCCCCTGCGATCTGACCCATGCACAGGCTTTTCCCGAGCTTATGCGCAGCACCGCGCGTCATCACGCCCCGGGACACATTCGGGCGCAGCCAATATAGGGCACCGTGCTGGCGTGGTGTTGCACGCCAGATGGAGACGAGGCCTGCGAATGATACGTGCGACGTAGGATTCTGCAGTAAACATGTTTTGTGATGGACGTGCTTGTCGGTATCGGTGGATATTCGTTCCAACCTATCAAACTTTTCAGGATGAAGCTTGGCGTGGCGTTCCGCCACAATATTCGATGTTTGAAGGCTCCCACGGCATGACGGCATGCGAACGTCTCTATTTTTTCGATCGTGCCTTTGAGATACTTCCATGAAACTAAATGGCGCAAGAGCCGCTGCAAAACATCCTGCTGCTCGAGTCATCTCAGCAAGGGTTCGGTGCTTTTTCTGCTATGAAACGCGGGGTTGCCATCCGGATGCATACGCAAGGTGTAATGCTGTGCAGATCAGATAGGATCAATGAATGCTCGTTTCCTCCGCACAAATGCTTCGATTGGCAGGTTTCGGGGCGTCGTGGAATTTTCAAAATGCTGCCCACAACTCGATGCCTCACGTGCCTCCGTCGTCCGATTGCACCGGGTCTCCGTTTACGTGCCCCTTTTCCGTATTCCGCTTCGGTTTACGTGTCTTTATGCTTTCTGCCATAAATTATGCTGCACTACACTAAAGGCAAGGTGAAACTGCCGTGGAATCCCCATCAGATCTGATTCGAGGCTTACTTAATTTGCGCATGGTTTGGTTCCACGTGCCCTGATGCCCTCTGCACTACATTAAAATATGCCCGAGGCAACGTAGCGGTGCCAAAGGAATCCCCAAGATGCTGCTCAGATCCGCTGAAAAAGTAACTTGTTGCAGAATCCGGTACCTCCGTATTCCGAATTGCAGAGGCTTCGGTCTATGTGCCCCTGCGATCCCCGACGCACTCTGCAATAAATGGGAATACACACGAGGCAACGCGACATTGCCATGGAATCGTTTCTTTTTTTCTTACCACGCAAGCGTACCAGCGCTACGGTGGACCCTCCCGCTCACCGGAGCGGGAGGCGACTCCGCCCGCCCGACTCCGCAAGCGCGAGGACTTGCCCGCGGGCAGGAAGGCGGCAGACCCTGGGCTGATCTGTGCCCCGCCTTTACACACCCAAAGCCACCCCCCCTTGTTGGGGAGGCGTTCGTTGAGGACGAACTTCATCGTCCTTCTGCCGAGGTTTTAGACTGTTTGCACCTTCCCAGTTTTTTTTTTTGACACGTTTTTTTCCAGCTGCCTGTTGTCCGGGATGCCAATGGCAGTACCCTTTCACACCGCCTGGCTACGCCTAGCAAAAACCTACGGCCGGAGCGGCAGACGACTCGCCCCGGCGCCTTCGGCAAGGTCCAGCACCCTGTCCAGGCTGGGCCCCCCAGTCGGTCCTGGGCCGGCCACGCGTGACCGAGGGCCGTGCCCGCTACGGCTTGTTGCACTGCGATGGATACGATGCCTTGCCATCGCTTCAACCAGCCTCCGGCAGCAGCGGCACGGACAGCAGGCGGTGCTCGTTGCGCACGGAGGCGGACGAGATCGCGCAGGAAACAAAGAACCTGCGCATTCCATCGGCCTCCGACCCCGCTCCCCAGCACGACCAGGTGTTGGGGCCCGCCGCGCGTAGGCTCGGGGTAGGCTGCCTGCTTGCGGCGCTCGGCGACACGCAGCACTGCACCATCCGTTGCGTCCGCGCACGGTTGCGGGTGTCCAGTGCGGGTCAGCGGCGACACGAGTGTCGCGTCGCAGCAGAGCGCTCCCCCGTTGGACGTGGCCCCATACACGACCACATCGAGGCGTCGGCGGTCGTCAGATCGCACGCCTGGGGCCGTTGTGTGGGCGAGCCACTGCTGTGGCACGACCTGGCATTCCGCGCCTACACGCGCAGCCAAGCGCGTTCGACCACTTGGCCGACTGCAAGCCGAGGCCACCGAGTGCGGCAGGGAGTGTCGCAAGTTCGCGGGCCTGTTCTGCTTCCAGTTCGGAAACCACACCCAGACATGCCTGCAACGTCTGCCAGATTGCCTCGTCGTAGGCCGTGGATGGCCGTGGCGTATGCGGCTGACATGGCGTGGTTTGCCCGCGGCGCCGCACGCATGTGCAGGAGCAACCATGCGCATTGGAGGTCCGGCAGCTGCGGCAAGTGGTCCAGCAGCTGTTGCTCGGTGCGCATGCGTTCGTCGACCCACGCGTGGATGAAGTCCGGATGGCCAATGGGTGAACCAAGAACGACCACTCCTCGGTCAGGAGGCGGCTTATCGCCCCGCCAAACATCGTCACCGAGTGCAGCGATGCCTGGGGGAGGCGGTCCTGGCACGGAGGCGATGGCGCGGGTCTTGCCCAGATTGGACGATATGCCGCAGTGCGTGGCCACCGCCGCTACGGTCGTGTCCAGCGCATTGTGGGCACGGCCTGGGGTGGTCACGACGTACAAGTTATCCCACAACGCAATGAGGCGGTCGTGACGGTGCAAAGCCTCGGCTGCGCGGACGAGCGCATCGTGCTGTCCAATCGCAAACAATGCCGGGGCTAATGCATCGCCCTGTTCGCAACCTTCGGCCTGCCGGATGTCGCGGCAACGTCCCTGTTCGTCCCACCAGCAGTATGTGGACGGTTGACGGTTGGCCATAAAACAACCTGACGAAGGGGAGCAGTTCTGGGGCCACCTGGTGCAGCTTCGTGAGGAAGTCTGCGCGGGACATACAGTCGTATGCGCTGCGGCCGTCGAGGGACACTACAACCGTGTCGGGTTGCATGGCCAGAGCCGCGCGGATGTGAGCCGCTAAGGCTAAGAAGGCTTTGACACTGAGCTTGGGAAGCTGGGCCGGTTGGAATTCGAGCAGCGCCTGCGGAATCGCGGTGCGAGGCTCTGGCGGGCGGCGAACCGGGTCGGTCAGTGCGGCCCACGTAGCATCATTGCCCGGTGCTATATCGGCCGCGGTCAACACTAGCCGTGCCCGCGAAAGCTCGCCTTTGCGAACCTTGGCGCAGGCCAGTTCGCGCTGGCGCTCGGCCATGTCCTCAGGCGGGACGGCGGCTTGTTGTCGGCTGGGTGCAGCATTGAAGGTACGACGCCTGCCCGACTGCCTCGGAATCGGCTGAGCTTTGGGGACATGTCAGGACCGCCTTTTCGTGTGTTTGCTTGCTGGTTCGACGGCTCCGGCTTGCTGCTCTCACATGGCGTGATGGCTTGTTGCACGGCATAGATGTCTCGTTGTCCGAGCCTGCCCGTCGGCTGCTTACAAGTGCTGCCGATTGGGTTTGCGAAGCCGACATTGCCAGGTGGTTGGACCCTGTTCCCCATGATCGGGTCCTGCCGATCAACACCTGTGTTATACTGGAGTTGTACTTGGTATGCTGTTTCTTGACGATGTGAGGCTCCCTGCGATAGAGATCGATAGAGAGGTGGACTGCCAACCTGTGCATCGGGGGCCCGCCCTCGAGTTGGAGGGAACGAGTCCCACTTCGGCAAAGATTCGAGTACATTCCAGTACGCCCATCCCGATGCCCTCTGCCGGCTCGCGGATGAAAGGTCTTTAGGCTTCTTTCAGGAGCTTCCCGAAGCATGCCCATTAGTCGGTGTCCAGGGCTCGAGTCAGCCGCAGGGTCTCCATTGCTGGAAGAATCGGGAAGACCTTCGCGCCCTCGTGCCTCGCACTTGCAGTACGCATGTGACTTGGTTCGCCTGACACTTCGCATGTGGCAACATGGATTTATTGCTGCCCTCGAGATCGATACGGCCACACGCCACATAGCTCACAGCCTTGCCAGTTTGCCCGGAGTTCAGGTTTTCTTCGTCCAAGATCGGGTATGCTATGGTATGCTGTGCCATTGAATTGTTTCAGTCTTTGTATTAGACGTTTGCATGCCTATGGGCTGGTCGAACCGACTCTGTGCCCCAAAAAGCAAAAGAGTGATGTATGTAAACCTGTATATCTGTATATCTGTATATCTGCATATCTGCATATCTGGATATATGGATATATGTGTATATATATATGTATATGTATATGAGTGTAAATGTATATATGCATTTATGTATATATGTATATATGTATATATGTATATATGTATATATGTATATATGTCTATATGTCTATATGTTTATATGTCTATATGTCTATATGCCTATATGTCTATATGTCTATATGTCTATATGTCTATATGTCTATAGGTCTATATGTGTATATGTCTATATGTCTATATGTCTATATGTCTATATGTCTATATGTCTATATGTCTATATGTCTATATGTCTATATGTCTATATGTCTGTATGTCTATATGTCTACATGTCTATATGTCTATATGTGTATATGGATATATCTCTATATGTCTATATGTCTATATGTCTATATGTCTATATGTCTATATGTCTATATGTCTGTATGTCTGTATGTCTATATGTGTATATGTGTATATGTGTATATGTATATATGTATATATGTCTATATGTGTATATGTGTATATGTATATATGTGTATATGTATATATGTGTATATGTATATATGTATATATGTATATATGTATATATGTATGCATGTATGTATATATGTATATTTTTTTTGTATATATGTATATATGTAGATATGTAGATATGTATACATCTAAATATGTAGATATGTAAACATGGAAATATGTAGATATGTAGATATGCATTTTTTTTTTTTACTCGGACCTTTTTGCAAGTCTCCCGGCGCGGTCCCAGTGCAGCAAGCTACCGGAACCAACCAAAAGTCCAGAACCAACCAAACCCCCAACCTCCTAAGAACGAAGCGAAGCTCACCCCATGCGGGAGGTGAGAGGAGGCGCCTCCGACGAGTCGGCAAGGACATCGCTCAAGAGAGGAGCCTCGCCATCGAGATTGGCAGTGTTGGAAATCGGAAGGGACAGCAGGCTGGCAGCGAAGGAGCGTGCAGCAGCGATGGAGAGAAGCCCAGACCATCGTGCGACAAAGGCGGCGACACACGCTGCGCACTGGGACGCGGCGGCACTGCGTGCTCGCGCCCGCGCGAGCAACCGAAGGAAGTCGGCAGCTTCGGCACTCCAGCGACCACCAACTTCAAGACCGAGGACAACCAGGCGACACCGACGGGCGTCGGCGAACTCAGGGTAGGTACGTTCTTTGGCCCTGCGCGCCTCGGCCAAGGCCGCCCCGGCAGTGCTGCCGCGCCGGCGCCGGGGCGCACCAGCCGATGTAAGTGGCGAGACGAGCGTAGTGTCAACGGCAAGCTGCGAGCCTCCCCACAACGGCAGCCCATTGGCGATCACCTCGATGCGGCGCTCATCATGCCTGGATGCCTGCAGGTTCAGGTCTCGAACTAGGACGTGTGTGGCGACTGCAGCACCGGCCTCACGGCAGACCCGAGCCGCTGCACGTTCGAGCGGTCCACCTCGTGCCCTGAGAACGCCAGACCGAGGACAGGCAGCGATGTGGTCACCCAGGGCATCCTGCGGACGCCCACAGCGGCATCGCGCAGGTGCAAGTGGCAAAGGGAGCCGCAAGCGACGGAGGAGTAGGACCCGGAAGAGCGCAGAGTCGAGGGCGAGCTCAGGAGCAACAGGTCGGACAGTGAGCAACCTGGCGGCGAAGGGGCCGGATTGTGAGTCGAGGAGTGCGAGTTCAGCAGGCCCGACGGCGCGGCGGTGCGCGACCGAGGCATCATCGTCGAGGGCGCGGGATGCAGAGCGCTGCCAGCCGCGGTAGGGGACATCAGGCTCGGCATCGTCAGCGGCGGGCGCCGGGCCAGGCTGGGGCAAGTCGGCCCACCGTGGGACCGCAAAGCCAGCCTCAGCAAGGGCGTCGGAAGCTTGTACTAGGTCCTGCACAGGCGACCAGTCAACGCCACGGCCATCGTCCAGGGCTTGCACCAAGGAAGTAGCAAGCGCGGCGTCCCGTACACGAAGGACGGCGACTGCGTCAGCCCAGGACGCCCAGAACGCTGCAGGCGCGTGCAAAGCAGCACTGCGCAAGCCAAGACCACCATGACGGAGGGCAAGTTGTGCAACACGGGCAGCGGCCGGTGGCAAGGGGGCAGGCCCCTCGGCAAGCAACAACGCACTCAAGGTTGTGAGTACACGAGCATCGTGTGTGCGTGCAAACTCCTGAGTCAGGCGAGGTGGAAGAGTGCGCAAGGCAAACTGGGCGCGAGGGGCAGCTGTGTAGAGAAGCAATAGCCACGAAACCTGAGTGTCACCGAGTCCGGGTAACGACGCGAGGAGAGCCTCGTGCCGATCAGCAAGGATTTGCAAGTGCCTCGCTACAAACCGCGGTTCCCCGAAAGGAGTACCTAGCAGCACGATACCGCGTGAAGAAGGCTCCAGGGCAGGGTCCCCGAACCACACACGGGCAGCCGGCGATAGCTCGCCCAGTCCCTGAGGGGTAAGGCCAGCGCCGTTCCAGATGGCGGTCTTATCCACATTGAGGCGCAAGCGAGTGTGACGGGCGAGGTGATGCTCGAAGCGACGGACAAGGTGCAAGACGCGGTGGGGGGGAGCGAGAATGGTGACATCATCGAGGTAGGCCAACACACGCTCCCCAAGGTCCTCGCGGAGCTCACGCTGAAGGTCATTGAGCGCCGGCTGCAAACCCAAACAGAACAGAGCAGGGCTCAAAGGATCCCCTTGCTCTACGCCTTCGGCTTGGCGCAGATGTCGGGTGGTGGTACCTTGATGCCACACAAACGAGGAAGGACGACCCACCCACAGTCTGGCAAACGGGAGCAACGCTGCTGCAGAAGGCTGGGACCGGAGTTCCTGAAGAATCGACTGGCGGCTGATGCCATCGTAGGCGGCGGATGCATCCAAGGAAACGACAGTGAGGTTCGGATCATGAGCGCACCTAGCCTGCACAGCATGCACCAATGCATCCAAACCAGCACGATTGCCGAGGGCATACTGGTGTGGACAAGCTGCCTCGACGGCGCCCCCAAATTGCTGAGCGAGTGTGCGCGCGACGATGCGCCTGAAGAAGTCTCCGATCACCAACCCTCGGGTACCCCCACTCGGCTTACTCAGGGCAACAACCCGACCAAGTCCAAACGCCGGCAAGATGGCAGCAGGGATTTGCGCTTGCGCAAGCAGGGTCGCAACATCAGCGAAGGCCTGCATGGACTCCTCCGCATCCAAGACCACACGCGCAATTTCGGCAGTGCACCCAGAAGGCCCGGGGGCAGCACCCTTGCGAGCCCGGCGCAAGTTGGTGAGCAACGCTCTGCGGTCAAGTGCAACGGGCGACGCTGGTTCCCACGCTAGCAAGTCTGGGGCAAGTGGTTCGTACGGCTCGGACGGGCGACGGTTTGGGTCAGAGAGCTGCTCGAAGGTGGCATCGGTGGTTGGCGCGAGCGGGTCGGCTGTCAACGCTTGCCGGGCGGCGGACAGCTCCCCAAGGTGGGCGAGGTGCACTGCTCGCCGAGCCCGCGCATCACCCGAAGCTGCCGGGTGGCGGCCAGTGGCCCCCTCGGGCAGAGGTTGGGAAAGGGCCTCCTGCAGCAATGAGGCCCAGTCACCCCGTGAGAATGCATTGAATCGGGCCAAAAGGTCAGCCTTTGGAACACGGGCACCAGCTGCCGGCCTGTGCAACAGCATGCGGGGAAGGAGGAACCAAAGCTTCCAGGCCCGGACCAAATCGGGTCCAGCTGGGGCACGGGCACAAGACCTAATCAAATCCAAAGCTAAGTGAAGGGAGCTTCGCAACACACCTTTACAGAAATGCGGCGGGACCCGGAACAGGCAGCAGGGTCGCGCTAAGACATCCTCAACTACGAAAGGGTCAAGGTTCGCCAAGGATGCCCGGTAGCGCAACCGGGAGTCAGTGCCGGGCTCGCTTCCGTGCAACGGTGCATGGGGCCTGGGCTGATGGTCAGCCTCGCTGGAGGTGCTGGAGCTGCTTGAGCTGGGAGATTCATTGGGAAGCACCGGTTGTGGGTCGGCGTGGTCGCCACACGGGTTGCCATGCGAGGTAGTGGGGGAGCCCACTCGGGGTGCAGGGGGGGTTGGAAGGCCGGCGCCTTCTCGGTGCAGTGCGACGACGTCTTGCAAGAGTGCTGACGCCGCCATCTCGCCCATGAAGACCTGTAGCAGTGCCTCCTGCACCGTTGCTGGGATGTAACCGTCGGGCAAGGTGACCATTTGCCAAGCCCACAACAAATGCACCAACGTGTTGTCGGGGAGGCGGTTGGCCTCGGCAGCAAGGGTTAGCAACAGCTGGGCTTCAGGCAACGGCAAAGCTCGTCCGTCCTGGGCAGCAAGTTGTTGTAAAGTATGCAGTGCATGCACCAATGCGGAAGGTTCGACGGGCGGTGCTTGGCGAAGGGTGCCCAGAGCGCCTCGCCACAGCAATGCATAATGAGCATGGGCCTCCCACGCTGCCAGCGCCCAGGAGTGGAGACGGCCAACGGCTGCATGTAGCAACGGCACGAATAACCAGCTATTGGTGCCGCCGGCAGCTAAGTTGTCGGGAGGCCCCTGGTTGAACCACGCCGCCTCAGCAGGAGGGGCAGTCGACACTAGTGCGGGTTGTTCCGGAGCACCAACAGGCAGGGCAGGTGGATGCGGCTCTGGGAGTGGGACGCGTTGGCCTGGGCATGGCAGCACTTCCGGAGGGGACCCTCGGCAACAGACCCACCCGCGGCTAAACTCGCGCAAGTCCAGCGCGAGCCGCCGGGGGCCATGAGTAGGGCACGTTGGTGGTTCCGGCACGTGCTGCAACAAAGGATGGCCCTCATCGACGGTAGCATTGCAGCGCATGCAAACCCACTCCGGCCTCCAGTGCCCGGTTTGTCGGGAGTGGACAGGCGCCCAGTGCATGTGGCGATCTGGCAATTCCTGCCATGCGGTGTCTGAGGTGGCATGCGCGGAGTCTGCGAGGAACAGTCTCGGACAACAAAACGGCAGGATGTGTGCAGGTGGTCGCGGTGCCATGGAGTTGTGGTATTGCCGGGTCGTCGTGTCGTGGTCCGGGGCGGGCTGCGGCGCGTCGACACCATGTGCACGGCATGCCCTGGTGAACGCATCGGCGGCTTCGGGCGGCCACCGAGCACGGCAAGAGGGGCAACGCAAGTCGCGGACGTTGGCGACGAGGTGGGCAACGCAACCCAAATGTAATGCATGGCCACATTGGGGCCAACGGAACAGCGTTTCCGGGCCTCGGGGGTGGGTAGGGAACTCGCACAGGCAAACCGGGCACGCATCTGTGGAAGGACACGGCGGCGGTGAAGGCGCATCATTGCTAAGCAACCAGTCCGGGGTCGCCGGCGCGGCTGGGCCGTCAGCTGCCGCGGCTGGCGACGAGTGCACGGTAGTGGGGGAGCGGTTCGGTGGCACAGGAGCCGGTGCAGTGGGAGTGTTTTCACCGGGTGAGTAGTCCGGAGGCGTGTCCGCCATGCGAGCAAACCGACGCGTAAAACCTCCTAAGGGTCGGGCACCTACCTAGGGACAAAGCCAGAGGGTGGCCCGGATGGCGCCGGGGGGTCCAGGCAGGCAAGCCGTGGCTTACTCAGTCGGTGGTTCCCGGTCCCAACACGTCCATCTGCCGCTTCTGGCGGCGTGACAGCCTAGAGCGTCCAGTGCGTTGAGTGGCCCGGGAGCCGTTGTGGTTCGAACGCGAGGGGCCCCGAGGCTAAACGCAAGTTAACAATTTCTGCTTTCTGCCCTTGAGCCAAAATGGCTAACCTTGAGCCAAAATGGGTAAATATGGAGATATGTAGATATGCAAAATGTATAAATGTATATATGTATATATGTATATATGTATATGTGTAAATATGTATATATGTCTATATGTGTATATGTGTATATGTATATATGTATGTATGTATATATGTATATATGTATTCATGTATATATTTAGATATGTATATATGTAGATATGTTTATATGTATATATGTATATATGTATATATGTATATATGCATATATGTATATATGTATATGTGTATATATGTATATAAGTATACAAGTATATATGTATATATGTATATATGTATATGTGTGTATATGTATATATGTATATATGTATGTATGTATATATGTGTATATGTTTCTATGTATATCGGGTTTTGTGTATATATATATATATTTTTTTTTATTTCTATGTACACATATTTCTATATATATATATATGTATAGTATATATGTATATGTATATATATGTATATATATATATGTATATATATATATGTATATATATATATATATATATATATATATATATATATAATATATATATATATATATATATATATATATGTATATATATATATAATATATATGTGTATATATGTATATATATATATATATATATATATGTATATATATATATATATTATATATGTATATATATGTGTTACTTATGTGTATATGTTGGTATTTTGTATGTTTATATGTTTATATGTTTATATGTTTATATGTTTATATGTATATATGCATATTGTACATATGTATGAGTGTATAAATGTATATTATATGTATGTATGTCTATATGTATATATGTACATTCGTATATATGTATGTATGTATGTATGTATGTATATATGTAGATATGTATATATGTATATATATATATATATATATATTTATGTGTATATATGTATATATACGTATGTATATATATATATGTATATATATATATATATATGTATATATATGCATATATATGTATATATATGTATATATATGTATATATATATATATGTATATATATATATATATATATATGTATATATGTGTATATATGTAGATACATGTAGATATATGTATACATATATATGCAAAAATGTAGATACGTAGATATGTAGATATGTATATACGTGGATATGTATGTACGTAGATATGTTGATATGTAGATATGTAGATATGTAGATATGTAGACATGTAGATATTTTTCCTCCCCTCCCGGGCTTCAGGCTGATGGGTAGGAAAATATTATTCACATACCAGGTCGTCTGGGACGGCAGGACGTGACACTTCATCTATGGGTGGAGTTGCTTCCGCAAGTGACGGAAGTGACCTGGGGCGGGGTTACATTGGAAAGCCGGCTATTTTCACGGGCCGCCGAATTGTCTGTTCTGCCTATTGGGTTGTGGTGATTGTCTGCGAGCTTCTGGGCGAGGTGCCCCCCGTTTCTATAGCAGGCTTGGCTATAACACCAACTAACTCATTATGCCGGACTGTGACACGTGACAATTCCACTAGCTGCCCGAAGCCCTCGCTTAGAGGGCCTTTGCTCAAGATGCGCTTGCAGCCCCGCGAGTAGCGGCATCTTCCTTTCGCGCCTCACCGCACTCGGGGGCGTCGCCACATGAGACGTGTTGCGGCGCCTCATCTCCCGAGCGCGATCGCACTCGAACAGTGGGAAGCTCGGTACTGCCACTCGGACGCTCCAGTTCGCGAAAACGCGTGCCGGCACAGACAGCTTGGTGGTGATTTTTCTCGCGAGAACAAGGCTGAACAACCAACGCGTATGACCCGCACAAGGCGAAGTTTTCGGCGCGTGGGGCAGGTGGTCCCGCAGCCAAGGTTCACCGTCGGCTTGCTTTGCAGTCGCTGCAGCTTCTTTTTTGATTGACATAGACACTGCAAGCGCACCCCGATTGCAAAATTTACCAACCAACGCTTTGGCCGGCGTGCTGCTGCGCAATTGTAGCAGCTGCTTGCGGTATAACCCACACAGCAGAATCAAACTACGAAGTCTGCCAACCGTAAACCGCGAGTTCCAGAGCCCGAAAAACCATAAGCACCTGAAACCATATGACTGTAGACATTGGTGTAACTCGAGCCAAAATTTACGCCCGGAATTTGAATGCAAATCCTGCATTCGCTCGCCATGGCCAGATGTGTGGCCAATGAGCGAAGCTGCAGTGGAGGATGCCGGAAAGCTGCAGATTGTTCTCTGGGAGGACGTCGCTGTCCAGCCCGAGGCTGAGGCCGTCCCGTTGCCACTACCTCCGCCTCCGCCTCCGGGCTATGGGCCGCATTTGCAGGCAAGGTCTTTATCTTGAAGACATTGCCCAGCTACAATTACTTTGGTTTAGTTGGACAGCATTTTGCGCGTTGCCCGTTCGAGTAAGAGACTACGGTTCCAGAGGGACATGGGTGACAGGTGGTTTTTTTTAGGGTACATCCTTTTTTATAATAAGGGATATAGTGCTGTCGTAAAGAGTTCCGTTCCGGCGAATCAGCGACATCATGCCAAGCGTTTGTAAGGGTAAATGTGCACGATTGAAACATCCCTCACCATCGTCCCACTGTATCGGGGGTCTGCTAAGCTTTTTCTTTGGCTGTGTGTTGCGAAGTTGTTATGGCGAGTTGGACCCCGTTCGCGGCAAACAATGGCCCCACATTTTGCTTAACAGTACGAGCCCCAAAACTGTGTAGTGGCGACGTGCAAAATAAACTCAGGACCTCATAGGTGTGATGACAGCATGGAGAGGAATGCCTGAAAACGACTTTGGGTCACGGCCAGAACGGTGAAACAAGGTGTATGAAATTGGAATGTGTGCTGTCACACATCGTGCAACTATGTACGAAACTCGAATCGCATCACAACGTGTTACATCTCACACGCCTTTTGGGGCTTGGCAAACTGTATCCACAAATTGCACATTGTGCACAATCTGTCTTGTTGTGTTGATTCCGGCACGAGTGTATCAGCCGACGATGGATCTCAACATTTCTCTTCGTAGCGTGTCAATTTCTTCCAGCTGTCCGTTGGAAAGGGGGGCGCTGCCAGGACCAAATAAGACCGTCGGTGTGATGACAGCATTGAACAATTGCAGACGACCTTCAACAATTGAGCAGAGTATCAGCAGGGATTTTTCGTCCGAGGTACATGTGTGTTTGAATATCAGCGAGTACTTGATCCATGTGGCCGTCAAAACCAATGTAGGCAATGTTTGTTTCACAATTAGGATCACTTTGCACTTGGCGCGCTGCCGGTTCGAGTCAGGGACTGCGGTCCTATAGGGACATGGGGTGTCAGACCAAGCTTCACCCTCGACACGATACCAGCCGACGATGGATCTCAACTTTTTTTGCAACGCGTCAATTTCTTCCAACTGTCTGGTAAGGGGGAGGCTGCCAAGACCAAATCAGACCGCCGGTGTGATGACTGCATTGAACAATTTTGGACGGCCTTTGATTGAAACGTGCCGATTGGTCAGAACATACCTGAACTGGGTGAACTTGCCCAAGCGGCGTTGATCCGGTGGGCCACTTCAACAATTGAGCATCGGCGAAGATCAGCGAGGATTCTTCGTCCGAGGTACATGTGTGTGTCAGTATCAGCGAGTACTTGAATCATGTAGCCGTCAACATCAATGTAGGCAATGTTTGTCGCGCTGGCGGTTGTAATTAATTCAGCGCGAGCTCCAATCCAGTGTTTGCCAAAACGGCGGTTGATTTTTTCAACATGCACACTAGTTCCTGCCATGTTTTGGCATGCAACATCCAATCTTCCGAGTATCGGATGTTTGGCCAATCAGATGGTGCTCCAATGTTAATTCCCTCCTCATTCCCACATCCTCTCCATTCGCTTATCGCATATTCCATACCGTGAGACACAGTCAGAAGTGAAACCATAATCATGATCATAATTTCAACATTCGAGAACACGCAAAACAAAAACCAACACCCACAAACAATGAACAAGAGCGAGCATTATGTTATTCAACCGTGCTTAAACCTTGTCAGCCAAATAAGATCTTCTGTTGCATCCCGGCCTCGGCGCCGATGCAGGATTAGGGGGTGAGAGTTGAGGGTACATTCAAAGTTTACATGAGGGGTGTTCTGGCATTCCTGGTTTTAGTTGTTCGGATTTTGCGGGTGTTGATTCATTTCGCCCTTGCAGGCTCGGGAAGCCTTGTTGAACGACTGCCGTTCTCTTCTCCACTTTCTGTGGTTGCACCACAGTCGCTGCTTTGATCGAAGTCCGACAGAGATCATGGGGCTGGCAGGGGTTGATGATGTCGACATCAACTTCGACCTTTGGTTTGCTTGGGAAAATGCCCAAGCTGTAACCCACATGGTGAATGGAGGGGGTTGGAACCACATCACGAGCACGTGGCTCCGCTTAGAGCTCCAGGGCACGAAATGCTCGCGAGCGACGGGTTCTTCGGCGCAGTCTCCTGCGCGAATCCTGAGCTACCATGGCACCCGATGGCCAAAGCTGCCTTGGATTCTGCAGCAGAAAGGCCTTCGTGCTGGACCGCGCATTGCTGGCAATACGCGTGGTGTCTGGAGCTCGCAGAGCTTCCAGGTTGCTGACGCTGAGGTTTGCAATTCGGTCCGCTTGTTTTGGTTTAGTGGAGTGCTTGCTACCGACCAGAAAACCAACAACTCAAACCTCCGGACCTGAGCGCCGCAAACTTCGAAACAATCGACCGTAGCCGATTCCGACCCTTTGAATACTAAACCGCAGTCCCCAACCTTGAACCCTAAAGCCTTTAAGATCCTTGATGTATGCCTTACACCGATAATTTTCAATAGGGTTCCTTAACGGGGTCTATAAGGGCTGCTACCGTTAATGTCAGCCCTAAACGGAGGAAATGTATGCCTGGCCCGAGCCAATGGCTGGCGCTGCCCGGAAGCCTTGGAATCCCTGGAGCCTTGCCTGTCGGCTGGAACAGGGTTGAAAGAAAAAGATTGAAAAAGGCTAAAATAAAAAGGTTGAAAAGGGTAAACAAGGGGTTGAAAAGGGTAACAAAGGTTGAAAAGGGTAAAACAAGTTGCAAAGGGTTTCGGTCTTCATTTTCTATTTCCTGCATGGTTAGGTTTTAGAGCTTGGGGTGAATGGTTGCATAAAATTGGGAACTAGAATTGGAAAGCAGGCAGGCCTAGTGTTGGGAATGTACAGAGACAATATGGGGAACCTTGCTTCAATCCTTACCTCCCAAACGCTTCAGTCCTGGACCTTCAATTTGCTGAATGCCTAGCGCACAGCTCAGGAAGCCGGATGCTTCCGCAAGCCCGGGGGAGAGGCAGCATGTCTCGAAATTTCGCATCGAGTTGTTTTGCAGTTGTTCACCTGAAGTTCGTGCTCCAACCAAACCAACCCGGCGCCACATCTTGGGAACTTGTTGATGGTACTTTCCCTGGGTTTTGCTCCAGGTTCCAGGTGGTGCTCGAACTGGAGCTCCAAGAATGGCGCTGCCACCGATCGAAGTCTGGTTATTTGGTGACCCAGGATGAGGCGGAATTTCATGAGAAGCAGGGCCCGGGTGCTTGCCAGGAATTACTGGTTGCGAGGGTCAAAATCAATGCATGCCACAGGATGTTACCAACCTCCCTCAAGGGCATTTATGTCGGGCTAGCAGCCCCTTCACCCCGAGACAATGCAGGCGAAGGTCACGCTCAAGGCCACTTGGCTGTCATGGGAGCAAGCTTGCGATTTAGGGCGCCGGGCTTGTTGTGTTCGATGGATGTAGATGTAGGCACATACCGTACTTCCCCCTAATTAATCAGCCAGTGTTTCGCAGTAGTACCCAACCAGAAAACCCCCCATCCTTTGGTTTGGGGTCTAGGGTTGAGGCTGCCACGACGCTCAGAGCCCAGCTGCGAAAGGGCACTGTGAACCTGGACAAGAGCCAGCTTGAGACCTCGAATCCTCAACTCATATGGGTGGTTGTCAAAATTATGGCCCCTTTTTGGTCCTTAGTAAAATACAGCACCTAATATTTAGGGTGCCCTAAAAGGGACCCGAATTTTGACAACCACCCATGTGCCCTGGAGTCATAAGCGCGAAGTCCTTACTCACTGATCTCGTTTCTCCAGTCGATAAGTCTCACGCCCTTGAATCCCCCAAATGCTCAACCCAAAACCCTACAGAAGAGGACGCTGTGGGAACCTATCCCCAGACCCAAAACCCTCAACCCTTACAAACTTAAAGAAAGCCATTGTAAGGCTTTGCATCTACGATGCTGGCGGGAAGGAGCTTCGGATCACCCAAGCCTCCGGCAAGGCGGCGAGAGAGGAAAAGAAGAAGATCTGGAGAGTTTAGGGATATTTAGGGCTGAGGGTTTCGGGCTTAGGGTTGAGGGCTTAGGCGCTTAGGGTTTAGGGTTGAAGGTGCGGTTTTCGGGCCTCGGCTGAAGAGCAGCGGAAGAGGCAGTGCTGGCAGTCATCAAATCCGGCTTCAAAAAAAGGTTTAGGGTCTAAGGTTAAGCTTGAGACTCTCATGAAACATCTTGGGTGACGTATGCCTTTCCCTGGCCTGGCCGACTTGCTAAGTTTGGCTGCAGAAAAGGGCTTAGCTGAACTCTAAATACTCTGCCTCGGTGGGTCGTTTGCCTGGCAGCCTCTTATCTACGGCAGTGCGAGAGGGTAGATATCTAGTGAATCCTTTTGAAGGACTTCTGTAAGGAAGCCAGGATAAGGAACCCTAAAAAAGTAGGTTCTCTGGGATCTTCGTTGTTTTTGGTTTCTGAGCTTCTTTTGGGCGGAGTGCTTTGATCGACGGCTCTTCCATTGTTGGGGATCCTTGCTTGCTTTATATGGGAGTTTCCGACTATAGGGTGCCCTAAACAGCAGGATCCGTATCATAAGGACTTCCAAATAAGGTACCCCCAAATATTCGGAAACTCCCATACACGGAGTAATAACTCTAAGCTTCCCAAAACTTGCGTCCCTGGCGAAGGCTACTTTCCTTCCAGCTTCCTGCCCAACGGCAAGCGGCTGGACTTCGTGCCCGGGGGGTCCGCCGCCGGAGGGTCCCTTACTGGCCAAGGAGAGCGGCAGACACGGACGAAGTGGAGTCGGCCACAGCTGCAGCGGGTGGTTCGTATGGCCGTTTCCGAGAAAAAGAAGGTCAAAAAGATTGTCCAAAAAAAGGTGCCAAAGAGGGTCGAGTTGAAATACGCCGATGTCGACATATCCGAGCTGTGCTGGGACAGCGTGGTGGCCGTGGTTCAGGGAAAGACCCTCCGGGAGAAGCTGGACAGGATCATGCGGAAAGCTTACATGACTGTCGTGAAGTGTGCAGCCTCTCCAGTGGCATTGCTGTCAGGCCCGAGCCATTGCTCCTGCAGTCCTTCTTTGCTGTTTGATGCCTCGAAACCGCCACAAATCCTGCGACTCACACACCCCGAATGCCCTCGACCCCGCAGCCGCGCCTGTGGCAGCAAGCCCTTGAAAGGTTGGGCCACCGAGGTGGCTGGGCAGCTTGTCCAGGAAGAGGGGCTCACTTTCGCTTTTCACCGAAGCGTCGCGAGTGAGCCCGGCTGGTTTGGAGTCCAGATTCCCTCATGAGTGAGAAATCATGATGATTTCGGCAGACTTTGGTCGCGGACTATCGACACATGCCTCGCCTGGATTGCCTCAGTTTTGAGCGCCGGAACCCTGAACCGACCCTTACGTTTCGACGTACTGAGCTGAAACCCTGCAGGCCCGTAACCTTGCCCCTACACGTCTCAGCCAGGCGACATCATCGCGGTTCTGATCCTCGGCAGTTTAAAAGCCCGACGCTCTAAGGCCCTTAGGATGTAGCCATTAGAGTTTCGGCTTTCGAGTCTGAGGTATTGTAGGTTTACGATCTTACTTGTCCTGGTGTAAACAAGTGGGGGTTCGCCGTGAAGATGTAATTTGAAGCTACTTCTGAATCCTATAGATATAGATACAGACATAGATATAGATGTCGCGTCCAGGGCTTTTCCGGTTTAGAACGGTGTCAGCTCACAGCGCCGTCAAAATTGAGATCTATCACCCTAAGCTTCCCTTGCTCAAATTAGGTCCGAATGGCTTCCAAACTTCCAAACCCTTTGCGCGCTGAGGAAGCGAATGCTTCAGGGAGGTGCTCTTCCTCGGAGCATGGTCGGGCAGAAGACATGGGATAAGGTTGCTTGGTCCAAGTTCACTGCGCGGAGGTGTAAAGATCACTACCGACGTGGAGGTGTTTGCTGAATCGTGAAATCCGTTCGCACCCTTCTGCCAGAACTGTGCGAGCATGCAAGTACGGATTGGAGTGATGTTGCGCGAATTCCACACTTGGCTTTCACGGAGCACGCAGGAAGATGCAAAACCGTACTTTCCGGCCTCTAAAGCACCAGCTCGAAAGCACCAGCACCAATGAGTCGCTTGTTACCGCCTGTCAGGCTCTGGAAGATCAGCTGCAGGACATTGTAGCCGCACAGCTTTCTCGGGTGCTCGCTGCTGATATGTTGATGCTGCCAGGGTAGCACTGACCCCCGGCAGCACATAGTCGGGTTGTGGTGAATCAAAGACCAAAAAGATGCCTTACTCACCTTTAAAATCAGATTGCATGCTGCCTTGGAGCGCGTGGGGACCTGCGCAGTCCCGCGACGTGCCTGCTTGCGCACAGATGCTTGGGAGCAACTGAAGCATTTGACCCCCGTACGGCAGCGTTGAAAGATCGTGGCGTAGCAGTTCCTTAACCCTCAGATCCCACAGCACCTTAGGTGGGTGTTCTGCGGGGTTGATATGGTTTCTCCCCAAGCCCGAAGCTCAGAATACATACCAGGTTTAGAGCAGGCGTTAGGGCTCAGGGTTTCGGGTCTGCAAACTCGGGTTGTCGGGTGTATTCTTCGAGACACAGTATGAAAAGAAGGCCTGCGGCAGGCGGCATGAAGAATACCGCTAAAGACTGCAGCATATGGTATGTACGGTTACAAGAACAATACAGGTCATGCGAAGGCCATAACCCCAAACCTGAATTCTTAAAGTCTGATCCCCAAGCCCTATAGCAACCTAGCCCGAATCCAAGCTTTTTGACGCCCTGCCGAGGCCCTCCATGGAAAGCAAAGGAGGTCCTCTGCGAGGCGTTCCGCCTCAGGTTTTGGGTTTGGGGTGCAGGGTTTGGGATCTGGAGTTGCAGGTTTGAGGTCCAGTCACCTCAGGCTGTTGGGGTTTGAGGGCTGGGGTTCGACAACGAGTTTGGGGTGCTTTGTGGTTCAGAATATGCTTTTCAGGGCACTGCCGTTAACGTTACCAGCTGGAATGATCCGCAGTCCTGAAGTTCTGAGCCTTGCGAGCATGTCAGACCGATTCGAGCTGTATACTATAGTATGTAATAGTTGTAATGCAGTTATAATCTAGTACAATGTACTGTACTATACGATCATTCAAAATTTCATCAAGTAACTAAACTATGCTACAGTAGATCCCAACTCCACCTGAAGCTGTCGCAGCTATCGCCTTGAAGCCTTGAGCGGACCCGGAGGCAGGAGGCAAAAGGGACCCCGGAGGTAAACATAAGGTACTATAAGATACTGTAACAGATACGAGAGCAGAGTATATACGATAGTTTGGAAGATGTTAGTATAAGATGCTGTAAGATTCTGTTTAAGATGCTGCATAAAGTGTTGTACGACATGCCATGCAAGGTGCTCGAGTTCGCTGCCGCTTCCCGGTGGGAGCGCCTGGCTTCTTGTAGGAGAGCTTGTGAGTCTGATAGGATTTATCATAAGGACCCTTTGGGGGGTAGGGGACTGTACTTCCTTAGATAGGCCTTATTAAGTCCTGTTATAGGTATGAAGGCCCCCTGCCCCCCTCCCCCCCTACCCCCCTTAGGGTCCTTATGAATTGAGGGTTCGGGGGTTTAGGGTGATTCTGCCTCATTGGGTTCGCGGCAGATCCCCTTGCAGGCTGGAGGCAAAAGGGTTATTTTGCATTTTTGTTCAGTTTTTCTTGAAGTGCTCGAATCTTGACCCCGAAATAAAGCCTCTTATGGCTTTTCGTTCTGATCCGAATGCAAGCCCCTCGCAGTAGTCCCAATATAGGAGTCGGAAGACTACTTAACAAAAATATTCCCCATGCAGTCATCATCTACCTCAAAACCTTGTCTAACTATAGTAACCCCTGTAGAATCCTCATCGATGATAGTTTTCCCTACGGTAACCCTTTGAGGGTAACTTGTAAACCCTAAATCCTAAACCCTAACCGCAGCTGCAGACAAGGCTCCGGGGCGCTCTGGGCAGACACCGGCCCGGCCAACCACGGCTGACGGACGATATCTCGCCATACCCTGAGCATAGTATAGTGGCAGAATTCCCATAGTTTAGATTTACGGTGTTCATAAAATCCCTCTATATTTACCGTAAGCATAACACAGGAGCAGAATTCCCATAGTTTAAGATTTACGGTGTTCATAAAATCCCTCTATATTTACCGTAAGCATAACACAGGAGCAGAATTCCCATAGTTTAAGATTTATGGTGTTCATAAAACCGTCTATAACTGCCGTAAGCAGTATAGCAACACAATTCCCATAGTTTAGCAGCGTAGGGTCATGCAAGATTTTGTCCATCAGCGGTATCCAGTCCCGGATGCCTCGCCACTGGCGCCGCGCGATCTGCGGAAAAGGAGCCGACTGAAGCCGTCGGACTTTCTAGTAAGGTTTAGGGATTGCGATTTAGGTGGTGTAGAGGTCGCATGAACGAGAACTGGCGCGCTCTTGCCTCTGTAAGGGTTTCGGAGGGCTCTCTGGTGTTCCATGAAGGCATGAAGGTTGTGTAAAGCTTAGTATACAGGTCGGACTCTTTGGTAATCATATTCCTTACAGCCCCTATTAGTTATATTGTAGTCCAAACCCAAAACTTTAGTTATACTGTAGTTCAGTCTAAAACTCTATTCTAGTTTTTGAGGCCGCTATATATCATAGCCTACAGCGGTGCAGTCACCCACATTCTTTCATTGCCCCCCGCCAAATCAGTTTACAGTTCATATTGAATCGTGCCTCCCTTTCCTCTCACCTCCAGACTCCGGCCTTCAACCTGCAACCCGAAGTCCCTGAGACCACCCCTAAAACCCAAACTCGAATCCCACAAATCGGGAAGGGTGGGGTCACCAAAGACACACGGCCGAAGACACGCCCAGCGCGCCGATGGCCACAACAAAGGTCTTGTCAAAGCTTGTGATAAGCTAAGATATTGTAGTACACTTTAACATACGCTCGCATTCTATGATATGCTATGACAGACTATGCAATACACTATCATATACTACAGTTCACGTAAAGGCACAGTACTGAACTTCGTCATCTGCTAAGATTCCACCGGGGGCCCTGAGTCACTCAGTTCTGACACGCCCGCCAAGCTCCAGAGGAGCCTTGTGGGTAGTTGTCAAAATTTCCCTGTTTGGGTGCCCTAAATTTAGGTGCCGTAGGACCCAAAAAGGGGCCATAATTTTGACAACCACCCGCGTGTTTGCTGGTACACGGTCTTCGGAGGGGTTAAGAATTAAGAAGCGCCAAGACTGGCTTGCGGTGCGGGTGAGTCATAAGATTTTTGGTTCAAGTTCAGCCCAACTCTGCCACAAGTAGCTCACAGCTTCGGTGTATCACCTTGCTGGACTCTGCACCTTCCCCGCACCCGTCTAGCAATCCCAAGTCCCACCACCATTGACTTGAAAACAGAGTTTAAGCCCAGGCATTGAACACCCAAGCCCTAATCCCTAAGTTTGGTTCCCAAGCCCTCATGCCCAAACCGGCTTCTGACCGTCTCTCAGCGTATTGCAGGGCCTTTCTTTTTGCACCACTTCGCCATGAAAGGTTGAAGCTTCTCCTTTCGAGCGAATTCCCAAGCCTCGGAGACGGCACACTGAAGCTCAGGGTGCCCGGAACCCCAATCCTTGAAACCCTGCACCCTCTACTGAAACCTGGCACAAAATCTGATAAAAAGGAATCTTAATGAAACATGGAGCAGCATACCCCGGACCCTGAATCTCAAGCCCACAGTACCCTGATTATGCCCGCGTCAACCTGCATAAACAGAACCCCCCAGGCCTCAAACTCTTCCAAACCTTAAGCTGCCATGTCGCCCGGCCCCGGCGCGGCGCTGTCAGCGCTCTCCGCCGGCGGTGGCAGCGAGGCATTGCGGAGGGAATTGCCAGCCTAAACCACGCTGAATCCCTGTCGAAGTCTTGACTTTGCATTCGTCCTCCGATCCTCGACGCCTGTCGCGGCAACGAGGGAGCTGCCAACCTTCTGCTTGCTCTTGTTGCTGCTGCTGCTGTCGTTGTCGTGTTTGCGGTCCTTGTCGTCGTTGTTGTCGTCGTCGTGGCTGGCGTTGCCGTCATCGTCGTCGTCGTCTTCGAGGTTGTTGCTGCGGTAGTTGCTGCAGCTGTGGCCGTCCGTGTCGTTGTCGTCGTCGTTGTCATTGTTGTGGTGATGGTGGTGGTGGTGGTGGGCGGCGGTGGCGGCGGTGGCGGTGGCGGTCGTGGTCATTCGTTGGTTTTGTGTCGTTACCGTCCTCTTTCTTTTCCCTCCTCTTGCATCGTATTTCCGCCCTCCTCGTCATCGCTTTTTATCTGCTGCTCGTCCTCCTCCTCTTTGCTCTTGTCCCTGCTACAAGAGTGCTTCTCTTTGTCAATCATTGGTCGGCAAAGTAGAAGAGTGGGCAACTTTGAACTTTTCGGGTTTGTATAACCTTGGCATACTGCTTCGCCGAGCCCTGTTTCTGCCATGGAACTCAGCAACAAGGCCTTGCCAAATCGGGGTGTGCTACAATTGGCATGTCTCCCTGCTGGACCCGCAATCTCAGCCGAGCACAGGCGGTCGTGCGAGGGGAGCTGGTTCAGGCCGGAGAGCTCTCGGACTCATCTTACCCTACACCCTAAATCTGGTTCGGCACAGCCCCCATAAAGCGAATCGTCAGACCGAACGCCCTGAAATCGGGGGTCTGCAACGTCCCAAAGCCTTTGTGTTCTTTCTCCTCACACGGAGGTGAGTTCAAGCGATTTAGCTGTCATGTGGGGCTTCGGGGTTCGGAGCTTGAGTTGGGGTCACCAACTCGATCTGACTATGGTTTGATGCACAGCAGTTGCACCATGCGAAGCTTACTTTGACCGATGGCTTGCTTTTTTGATATCGCTGAGTAATCAACCGTGGACGTCTTGAGCCAACTAGTTGTTGCGGTTTCCACAAAGTTTCATAGGGGCCTGCAGAGCTAGAGCCCGCTAGGTCTTCAGAAAAGCATCGCGCATGTATGCATTGGCCTTGATGTTACTTAAAGGATCATGGGACTTAGTAACTAGGTCTATTATTGGGGTAACTATACTTCTTTTTACTTTTTTACCCCAATTACGGGACTTATAACTATAGTTACTAAGTCCCATGATCCTCCAAGTAGGGTGCCGGTTGCTGCAAGAGCCCGAGCTTCGTCCACCTTTGAGCTCGGCGGAGCGACTCCTGGGCTTAAGAAAAACCGGAGAACGCCCCGCG